ATTGCCCTTGGCAAAAATGAAAACAGTGAAATTATGAGCCAAAAGCTCTTCAGGGAACTTCTTTCCATTCCTCCAACCCCAACCAAGGTGTCTTTCAGCTACCTTTGAAATGAGTCATATAAGCAAACTGCCACAAGGACTGAGATGCTACTTTTTAATACTTCACTGCTTATCAGCTCTGGTCTGCTCCAAATGAAATATTAAACCCAACAGTTTAAATCATCAGGTGAATGGGACCAGGCTGTAGAGATGATGTGCTGAATCAATGCATTTTAATGTCCAAGAGTGGAGGGAGACCACTTAGGAGTATAAATACATGCAATTGTGGCAGCTTGGCTGATAAGCAGTAACTCATTAACTGATGATTACCAATATGACTTTCTTTCTGGCAGTTTTACAAGTATTGACTTTAGTGCCTTGTCCTCGATGGTGATGGAAAATGAAAGGTTCCTGCAGGATCACAAAGATGGGTTTTCTTAGGTGACAGGTCGAGAAACTAGGGGAGGCATAACAAGAGATTTCAATCCGTCGATGCCCATCAAGTTACGATGCAGTGTGGTATCACATCCCTCTTTCTGTCCCACTATTACCTGCAGATTGTTAACCAACTGCTGTTCATCAGTTTGGGGACTACAGTTCAGGGATGAAGGAACTATCCTCAAATCGTGCTCATCCAACATGTAAGTCTAGCAACACAATCCTGCACCACAGCTAAGAATATTTCTTTATGGGAGATACTCTACCCCAGTAAATTGGCTTGGAAGAATTACAGCTATGTCTGAGAAGTCTATGCAGAGAAATATTTGTAGATCTGGAGTGGATACTGCTGCCACAGTTCCTAGGAAAGGAAGATTGAATCTTATAAGTGTAAGAGGTTAGATTTTGCCTCTCCTACTTTGACACTTATCGCGTAGTTTCAAAATTCAGCAAAGTTGTGGTGTGGCTCAGCTCATACTGGGAGCAGAACTTCCTGACTTTGTTGGGGAAAAAAAATTATTGAAAGAAGGTAAAGAAATTCAGAGCAACAGGAAAAATGTGGCATGCTGCTTCCTCCAAAATCCTTTGTACATTTTCTGGAGCAGTCCTGAAGTTCAGTTGTTCAATTCTTAGATAGTCAGCCATATCATGGAAATAAGCCATGATATAAAGCTATTTATTTATTCTTATTATTAGAATCCTCAGATATTCAATTTTATTTAGTTTCAGCTTAATAGTTTCAACATGCATGCCACAAATGTAATCAAAAACCCATAGTGGTCAATCTAATCAAAACATAACCAACAATGAAATGGCTATAGCATCTATCTCCTAAGAACAGAAGCATAAAAACCTTTCAGAATGTTTTCTGATTTTTTTTTTAGCAACCAGGGGCAGTTAACAGTACATTTTCCAACACCTGAGAGTTTACCTTCAGATGGCCAAGCAACTGGGAGGTGTTACTCATTCAGCAGCTTCTGGGCAGTGAGTAGTAGTGAGCATGGCAGTCTGCTCTGCTCTTCAAACCAGATAAAAAAAGAGTACAGAGTCATAGAATCATTTAGGTTGGAAAAGACCCTTCAGATCATGGAGCATAACTGCTTTTCACAAACCCATGGAGGCAGGGCCTGACCTCCTGCTTGCCCTGTACATGTTATATGCAGGGAAATGTGTGGTTTCTCCCCAAATACAGTCAAGTGCTTAGTGCAGCCATGAGATGTCAGCAGAGACTGCTGTTTCTGAGCTAACCATTAGACAGCCTAAAAGGGATGTGTGTTTTTAACTGATATAACTTGGCTAATTATGAACTGCTTCACTGCAAGGAGTTTACAAAATAAAGCAGAGGAAAGGCTGCCTGTATTTATGAAACAGGCCAGATTTCTTCAGATTTTGTTTTTCCATTTTAAATAGCTGAGACCATTGAATTTCATTTCCCAAAACAATGCAAACAAGTGATAAAATTGGAGGCACCCACCCAGAGTCAACCCACCAACTGTCTATTGGCTTTGGATCAGTGATCAACAAACATATGGAGCTACTTTAACTGAAGCTGTGTCTAAACCAAAAGTGTCCCCTAGGTCAGGAGAGGCAGGTAGAGAGCTTTTTCATGCTCAGGGATTCCTCTGACCTCCCTTGTCTTTCTCTTCCACCCCTCGAGGAAGCCTTTAACTTAGTGACCAGTATTGGCCAGTAGCTCTGTGCACTCTAACCCCTCCAACAGTTCTGCTCTGCTGAGTACATCTGTTTTTCTTCACTTTAAATATGACCAATTACCAATGAGTTTGCAATTCCCCAGAAAGTAATGGGAACAGTCGGTGTCCACATCTCAGTAACGTATTTTGGGGACAACACAGCAAAGAACTGGATATTAATTAAACATTAGTTTCAGTAAGAGGAAGAAGCTGACAAGGTCATTTGTATCAAATGACATAAAGTCCTTTCTGGGATGTTTGCTCTTTCTAGCATAATGTTTCAAAATGTTCAATGCTAATTTAACTATTCCAAATCATATTTTTTTCTTTGTATTCAGAAGGAATTTCAGAGAAATTCAGGGGGTTTGCAACTATTCAGGAGCAGAAGATACTCTTTATTACCATTGTGCCAGATAGTGCAGGAAGCCAGATTGAGAAATTTAGGAAAGCCATGGAAATGAGAATTGCTCTGATTCAATAACAGATTCATTGGCTTTCTAATTTGATTGGATCACTTGGGTGTTTTATATTGTAGCTGGGTAAGTATCTTTTAAATACCTACCACATGTGACAGAGGCACTTCAAAAGCATCATATAAACAGGAGAATAGATCTGCAGAAAAAGTTAAAGAAAAATATATATCTTAGTTCTTCCATGTCTTGGTAAATAATTCCCAGCTCTGAGATGGCATTTTATTTAATTTTACAACATTCTGAACCACTTTAAAATAACATCTGTAACAAAGATTCAAAAAATAACTCAGATGATATTTTACTGTTACAGCTTACAGTAATGTCTGAGGAACATCATACAAATTGTATTATAAACAGCTTCACCAGCACCAAAACATAGAAATTGTACATTTTACATCATTCACTTAAGCACATGGAATTTTGACTGCAAAGGATTTTTTTCTTCCTCTTCTTATAGATCCGATTTGGTATGTTTTATCTTGCAAAATGACTCAATTACATGGTCCCAACATAAGGCAACATGGAAAATACCTGAAAACCAATGTTGGAGCAAGTGAGAATTACAAAATTGTACTGACTAGTCACAGAATTTCCCAGTCTATGCAGGATTTCTAGCCTTACTTCAATCTGATAACAATCTGCCAACTAAGGTCTTAGACTGAGATTTAGATGCTCTGGTTCCATGTGACCTTGGAAAGGTTTTCTGGCTCAGTTCTCCATTCATGGTAGTAACAGTGCTCCCTTCTGTTCCCCAAAGATTGTCAGCTCTTGGAGCTCCCTGCCACTGTGTTTCATGAAGTCATTGGTACTGTGGGTCTAAGATCAGAGCTGAGCTCAGTAAGAGTGAATGTGCAATCTTTAATATGGGACACACTGATAGAATTGTTCTGCTGTCTAACAGAGGTAGGTGAATGATGCCCTTTGCACCCTGGGACAAAGCCCAAGGGACTTGCCCAATGACAGAGCATGACACAGCTCCTGAGCCACAGTCCTGAACTGTGATGTGCTGAGGTCCTCCACGAGTACATGATCTAACAGAAATGTAGTGGATCTGTTAACATATTCCAGTCTTTATTCAGAGTCACAGCAGTCAGGGGGAAATTTCTCCATTAACTTCAGTGGGCACTGAAGCAAATGTTCTCTTAAATGCTACTACCCAGAGGAAAAACTCAGAAAAACTAGATTGCTTGGCACCCAAGATGAAATTCATGTGTCCTGCATGTTCAGCATACTCAGCAGTTTTCAGCACAAGATAAACATATTCTAGCACAAAACATGTGCACAAACTTCATAAAAACATCATCAAAACTGCAAAGTAAAAACTGGGAAATGCATCAGATACATGTCCTGCATTACAGAATTGAAAAAACAGCTCATAAGCGGTTTATGAGCAGTAATAAGCTGAAAGAGATAAGCATGTAGCCTGAGCATCTGATAAATTGGGGTTGGCTACAGTAGTTAGTTTAAACATCTGGAGAAGCAGCTGTATCTTTCTCTTGCAGTACACTCATCACTGCACTGCACTTCAGAACTTCACCACCACAGTCACTACCATCTGCTGGATTGCAGAATGGTTTGGGTTGGAAGTGACTTTAAATATCACCCAGTTGGGGCAGCCACAGCTTCTCTGGGCAACCTGGGCCAGTGCCTCACCACCCTCACAGGGAAGAATTTCTTCCTAATATCTAAATTAAATCTAAATATCTACTCTAAACCTCATCCAACGCTGTCCTCTATCAGTGTGAAGCCATTCCTCCTTGTTCCATCACTCCATGCCCTTGTCCTAGGTCCCTCTCCAGCTCTCTTGTATTACTTTAGGTACTGGAAGGGGCTCTAAGGCCTCCCTGCAGCCTTCTCTTCTCCAGGCTCTCTCAGCCTGTCTCCATAGCAGAGGTGCTTCAGCCCTCAGAGCATCTTCATGGCCTCCTCTGGACTTGCTGCAACAGGTCCATGTCCTTCTCAGGAGTCTCAGAGGACAAACAAAAAAAGTGTTCTGCAGTGTACTCTGGGGCACTTTGCTGAGACAGCAGAAAAGACAAAAGAAAGCAAGAAATCTGCAGTGTTCTAAGCAATGAATGGAGATGTCTTATGAGCTGCCAGCTGAAACGATTCTGGAAACACTAACATTGCAATGTACTTTCTTCTAAAGTCACAAGTGTTTCCTTAGTGACAACAGTTCAAGTGTTTTACTGATTTATCAGAGTCTTTGTGTTTTATAGCCAACTGTGAGAAAAAAGGTTTACAGCAGCTGACAAGATACTCAGCCTTGCCACTTTTATTACCCCTAGTGACCAGATGGACCAAGCAATCCAAATCATTAGGGTCTTCAGGGTTCTGTTGTTGCAAAGATACCTGTTGTTCATAATGCCTGTTCATGCTGCCGTTTCAGCCCCACCACTCTTGCTGCCAGGAGGAACACAGCCCCTGTGAGCACTTCAGTCACAAAGGAGATCCAGACTAGTGCCAGTGACCAGCCAAACCTGATATCAACTTCTACCAAGAGGTCCTTGCTCTTCAGGAGGCAGACAGCTTCTTCAAAGGCAGCAGCTGAGTATGCAATATAGACACTGATCCCAGTAAGTGTCACGAGAGCTGAGAAACAGAAACATATTCAGCTAGTTAGTAATCACTCCAGAAATGAAAAGCAATCAATAGGATATGGCTTAGTGATTCTCTGTCACTCCTGCCTATCCTTCCCTGGCCAGATTTCCAGTTTATCTCTGAAATCTAGTTGAGGTTGATTTGTGGTTTCCTTTTGTGATCCATAGTTTGGGGACACCACTCTAGTTCAAAACTAGCAGTGAAGCTAACCCAAAAAGAACTCAGTGCAAATGCCTTTGAAAAAAATGTTAGTTTTCATAATAGCTGTGAGATCTGTACAAGGTTATCAAACCCATGATTTAGTAATTCCAAAGTCACTGTTCCATTACTCCATTACCCTGTCAGTAAAGAATTTGAGCACTGTGCTGAGAAGGTATTAAATGCTTTGTGCTCATGGGCACAGCAAACACAGTGTTCAAAGGGTGACTCCCTCCACAAGGACATATGGCTGTGTGTGATCATTTGCCTATCCAGAATCCCACCAGGAGCTGAGCAGACACCAAGTGAATGAACACCAACATTATTGTGGGAGCAAACTCCTCTGTGATGTTTCCCAGATATGATCTGTCATTGTTTCAAAAGGTTATGCAAGGTGTTTGATATAGTACCTCCAAAAAGAAAAAGCAGTCCAGTCATTAGAAGCAGTAGGTAGGCCCTGGCAAGTATACTGATGAATCCAGTCATTCCTCCAAAAATCATCAGTATCAGGCTGAGGGGCATCAGGATGACAAATGTTCCATGCATGTCTGAAGAAAAATGAAGAACATTAATATTTGTATTAGGGTGTCAATGGTTGTACTACTAATTTTTAAGTGCAGAGCCCCTGATTGGGACCAAAGCTTTATTCTGTGCTGCATGAACAAGAGATTGGACAACCTCTTGTGTTTTCAGTTTAAGCTGGCAGGACAAGTATGTACTATGGAGGAAGAGGTAACACACACAGCAAACCCTCACAGAATCACAGCCTGTGTTTCAGAGACCTCAAATATAAAGGATATGTCCATATAGACAAATATGGAAACAATTAAGCTGTTGTCAGATGTTAAGCCTAGCTGGGTAACAGGTGAGGCACTGCATACCAGGTAGGCACTGATAACCTGAATAAAGGGTAGCCCTGGTTATCTGAATCTCACAGCTCGTGGTGAGTGGCACAGTTCTACCTGCATGGGGAGATCCAGCAATGCTTTGATTAAACACTTTCTCTTCTGTCACTTGTCCTCTGCTGAACTGATCTAGCAAATTGTTGACCTTTTCCTTTGTTGCAGCTGACCATCAACTAGAGGTAAATTTGCCCATCCAGCTCTGATTCTGTCTGTCATTGTTTTCTACAGCAGCTTCACTAAGTACATTAACCTATCCTGCTTGCTTCCTCCCATGCTAAATGTTTTACATTTGTCTTTCTTGATCCCTATAACATTTTAATAGCTGTGTAAACAGAGGGTTGCTATGTATTTTTTCATATCACAGTGTTTTTACCATCGTAAACTATCTTTGTGCAATTGTTCCCTCTCGTGCAATCTATCCTCAGCATTCAACCCAATCTTTTCTAGGATAACAACAACAAAAAAACAATTCCAGTATCAATTTATTTCAAACTAAAGTGCAGAATTATGAAGAAAACCTAAAATTCATGTTCTGAAGAGGTCTACGCTTTGTGGGGAGGGAGGAAACATAAACAAGCTCAGCAGTGGCTCTATGCCTTGTGGTATTCCACCTCTCCCTCACTACTCAAAGTAGCTGCTAGCAAACTACACCTCAGGACAGGAACACTAACAGCTGCTGTTTCTTTGATTTTCTTTGTCCTGATGTGATTTCAGCTTCTGAAGCTACTGCAACCTGAGCCAGGACACGTGAGGGTGAAGAAGATAAGGCTCTGAATGTAACCTTGTTGAGGAAAGGGAAAACAAACCCATAGCAAAGCATCCTGGGGACAGTCATAGGTTATGCTAATGATTTGTGACAGCTGCATGCAACTCCAGAATAATTATGATTTTTATGCCCTCTTCAGTGAAAACACAGGTTTTAGGGCTATCTCAGCTGAAACCCACAAATTTCACAGCGACAGAGCCTTACTTTTCTTACACACAGCTGGAATCACATTTCTCATTAATCACCTGCAGCTTTTTAAAAATCAAATATTTAATGGATTGTATTTGGTCAAACAGCACTTTTATTATCTCGTGTTCTACTTCAATACCTAATACCCATTTGTCCTATGAAATCTGCAACTGCCTGGGAAACTTATTCTAAAATGCTGCCATGGAAACCACTCAGGAATCCGAATTCATGCCATCTGGCATATGATATTATGCCATTATATTCCTTGATTAGAGGAACAGAATTAGTTTATAGAAGAACATGACTTAAAATATCTTTACTGTGTTTCTGTCTTCAATAATCATCTGTGAAAGAAGTTAAAACATTAATTTTGCAGTCATTTTAGTGGGTTTTTTAGTTTATGTTCAAATACACATTTATGCTTCAGGTATTATAGATATAACTGTCTTCATATTGATGAAATTAATCTAGTATTGAAAAAAAAACACAAACCACCAACCTAACCATTTTGCACAAGAAGAAGTATGTGCACTTTCCTGTAAAACAGAATAGAGTTTCCCACATCTGTTTCTCAATGCCTGAGTTCCCTGTCAGTCCAACATGAAAGAGGTTTAATAGGAGTTTGATCTTGGAAATATGGAAACCAACTGATGGACATTTAAAAAAACACTCCAGTGTTTTTGTAGCAACAAAGAACTCAATTGCTCAATCTGAGATAATGAAGTTTTGCATGGCCTAGCCAAGGCTGTTTTACTAGAGGTCTGCCCAAATGTCTGTAAGGATGACATCTGCAGTGTGTGTCCAGAGCTGAGAATTTGGCAGGCATCTCTAAATTACCACCCAACACAGTTGCTGATGAGTCGTTTGAAAGAGAAATCTGTGGAAGGAACTAGAAAAATTGAAGGGTGTCAGAAGTAACCAACTGCAAGCCTAGCAGTTTTGTTAATCATCTCCTGTTAACATGCTGGAGCTTAATTGCTTCAAACTAACTTTGGATTTGTTTGCACAGCTTATAATGGCAAATAGACTCTAGAAATCTATAATAGTCACCTCATCAAAAATACTCCAAATGGCAGCAGCTCAGAAGAGCTTAATTAAGGGCCTGTTTCTCTTACCCAGCAGTTACTAAACAGCCAGTTAGAAAGACAAAAGCCTCTAGCTGAAACAGAACACTGGCATGTGCTGAAACCAATGGGGCTGCTCTGGAAAGACTTGGCAAAGCCAAGAAAGAACAGTACACAGAGAATGCCTGACCTGCTTGCAAGGAAGGAAACAACTTGGAAAACCAATGAACAACTGAAAAGAACTTCTGTGGCTAAATGTGAGGCTTCTGGGCTTAGAATCAAAGAATCATCAAGGTTGAAAAAGAACGTTCAGATCATCAAGTCCAACCATTCACCTGTCACACTGCTAATACCCCTAACCATATGCTCCAGACACCAGGCTTGGAACCCAGGGACATGAAGGTCCAGATTTCCTCCTGTTCAACAGAGAAAAGGCAATGGATGAGAATTAGGGTTAGGGTTCTCCAGGATAATTAACCAGGCTCTGGTCTGGGTGTTACGCATTTTGGCTTGGTGCTTTTTTCATGCAACAAGTCTCTGAGCTAAACTGGAAGACAAATTGCAGACAGTAGAAATAAAATGATGCTAGACTTGGAACAGGTGGCACTGAGAAAAAAACTTCAAGCCTAGGAATGGGCAGAATGATGAACATAAGTGACACACTGTGGTTCACATTCTATTGCTATAGCACCAATGCATTTGAAAATGAGAACATCCATCAGAAGTTGTCCCTCATTAGGTCTCAGCTGCTGCAGTGATGCTGAAGCTATCTCAGATCTCTATATATTTACTGTAATATCTACTGTAAGTACCAAAGCAGATGTTCACTGGAACCTCTCTGAAGACACAGTACACTGTTGCTCAGAAACAAAGCAGATCCATTTGGGTACGAACCTACCAGATCAACCAAGCTAGAATTTCTATGTACATCATTTGAGCTTTGTTTCACTTGGCCTCTGAAGTGGCTCTTGTGAGATATTCCAGCCCTAGCTGTTTCCCTCTGATAACTTAAAACCAAAAGAAAAATTGCATAGAACTGTAAATCCCTTAGGAAAAAATGTCATGGCAGCCAAAGAATAGAGAATTCTTTATAACATTATAAACTAGAACTCAGTAAAAATGAAGCAGGATAATGAGGAGTAGGGCAAAGTGTGAAAGCAGCTGTTTAGTGACTGCTACAGGCTCCACATGCTGTAAGGAAATCCAGACAAGTTTATCTGTACTGTTAAACTAATTTTGTTGAGGAAGAAACCAAGGCAGCTGTTACATTCAAACAACTAAGGTATCAGTAACTGCCTCTGCTGCAAAGATTGTTTCCCTGCAGGAAGCACTAACTTGCCTGCAGACTCAGGGTTCCAGTTACAAAGATATCTAAAAAAAGAAAAAAACCCACAAATACTCTGGGGACAATACTTCAGCAGTTGTGCATGGGCAGCTGCACACTCCAGTCGTGGGTTTATGACAGGAAAAACATTTTCTTCCAGCCATATATATGTGAAAACCACATCCATTAACTGCTCATTTCTGGATGGCTCAAAAATAGAGGAGAGCATTAAAAATGGACTTGTAAAAGGAAATCAATCACTGGCCACGATGTTCATGTAACCAACAAAAAGTCAGGATTGTCAGAGGCTTAATCATACTTTCTAGATACCTAATGCAGATGGTTTGTGTGTCAGGCAGACAGTGAGAAAGAACAGCAGTTCGTATCACATTATTTTTCATACCACCAGCCCCAGCTCTGCAGTGCAGTGTGTTGCTTTCTGATTTCTCTCTTAGAATCATAGAATCAACAAGGTTGGAGGAGACCTCTAAGATTATCAAGTCCAACCATTAACCTGTCACTGCTCTAACCCCTAAACCCTAAACCATGTTCTCCAGTGTCAGACCCAGACACCTCCTAAACACTTCCAGGGATGGTGACTCCACCACCTCCCTGGGCAATATTCCAGTGCCTGAACACCCTAAGAGGGAAAACATTTTTCCTGACATTTCATCTGACTCTGCCCTGGCTCAGCTCAAGGCCATTCCCTCTAGTCCTCTCCCTACAGCCATGGCAGGAGAGACATCCCCCACCTCTCTCCAACCACTGTCAGGGAGTTGTAGAGAGCCATGAGGTCACCCCTGAGCTGCTTCTTCTCAAGGCTAACCAATTGTTTCCAGCAACATCAAGCATCTAAGGCTCTCTGTCTTGAGCAAGGAAGATTAAACAAGTGGCACCTTTCTATTTGAAAGCACAGAGAAACAACCTGGGCTGTTAGTCTTGGACTTGTCAATATGTTTACTTGGCTGCTTCAGTAGCCCACCGGGATCTTACTTCTACTTTAGCTTCCCAGTTCCAGCTGTGACACAGCCCCATCAGCATCAGTCTTCCTTTGCCATATGTGCTGCGCTTTCAGCTGTATCATGAGATGCTGCTCCAACAGACTAAAGACACACTAAGCCTCTCTGAGAATTGTTCAGAGAATGGCTGGTTTTGAGGGAGAGATTCCCATTTTAAGGCACAGGACAAACACATATATTCTGCATGCGAGGGGGAAACAGGCAGAGGCAGAGAGGAGAGGTAAGTAAATTTAAAAGAAAGTATATAAATCAAGCCCATACACATCATGTATGAGAAAAGGATGGTGCAGAATATGATGCAAAGAAGCTACATCATCTTTGAGGAGACGCCCAGAAGGACTTGAAAATGTTCAGTCTGAACTTCTTTAAAACATTCTGACATTGACAAATTAACCTAAAGAAAAAGAAACAAATACCAACCAACACAGAGAGAAACTTAATGTTTTGGAACACTATGTTCTTCAAAGAGTTTGAACACTTGTTTTAGTCATTGATTTAGTTTCTTAGATTCTCACATACAGTCTTGTATCAGTGCAAGGAATCCCACTGAAAGGGTAGAAAAGTAGCTGTCTTAAAGATCAGTTTCAATGTGTGCTTAAGCATTTTCAGTGATCAAACTCCTTTGCAGTGATTTTGACCATTTTTGCCTTTTATTTATAACAACTGTGTACCTTCCTCTGCCATTCCAGTCAGAAAGGCTTTGGTCCTTTGGAAGAAATTAGCTGAACTTGACATCAAATAAATGGTTATTTCAACAGAAAACGCACTTAAAGACCACAGGCAGTGACAGATATTGTACAGCAGCAGAGGCAAAACACTATCTCAGCGAGTTCCTGCTCTGAATCAGAAATGAGTCCTTGTAAGTGGCCAAGGAGGGAGGGAAGAGTGGATGGGAATATAAAAACAATAGAAATGCTACTCACATAAAAGCTGTCTGTGTGAATCGGTGATGTTTGCATTCTCATGCCAGAAGGGGTTTATCAAAGGATAACATTCACTTCTCACTAACACAGAAAGGGAAAAACAATGAGGAAAAAATTACATTATAACAAATTTTTGCAATATATCCTTTTTTTTTTTTGCACGTACATATAATTCATACAATGTTAACTGTTTTTAAAACAGTCATTCCTAGGTAGAGAAGGAAAGGAGGAGCTTTTCAGCACCCAGCATTGGTTGTTCCCGTGGGCACTGACCACTGGAGTCAACCAAGAAACATCTGCTCATTGCAGAGGAGCCTGGGGTACAGCAAAGGGAGAATTCCTGGAACCTGCTTCTTCTGCCCCCTACACTGGAAACAATATCCTTTCTTGCCCACGGTGAACATTATTTACACCTTGCTTTTAATGGTGGAATCAAAATCAAAAGTAATATGCCCAGCAAACAAATTCATCAAATGGGGACAATCCTGTAATAACCACCTAGGCCTTATGGATCTTTCATTAAAGCTGTGAACAACTCAGCAAAATCAAACACAGGACAATTACCTGGTGAACTTGGTGAGTCTTTAGTCACCTACCTCTAGTTAGTAAGAGATTAAGTTTATATTGTTTATAGATATGCATTTCAAAGTAGTGTTAATATTTATATCATTTACATTAACATTATTTGCATAAACCACATAGGTTTTAATGTTATTTATATTCTTTATCTTATTCTTTATCGTTTTGATGGCTTTAACCCACAACTTTCACCCCGTCATTCCCTGAGCCAAATGAAAAGACATCTCCTTCCTTCTAAACGGTTAACGCTCATTCAATTAGCTTGAATTAAAAGTTAATGTAAAATCAGGTTACGGCAGCAGAAAATTCGCTCTCCCCTTGCTTCCTTTGATAAGTAATACAGGAGGCATTGACAAGGCATTGACAAAGCATTGACAAGGCATTGACAAGGCATTGA